CTCCAGCCTCGAACATCACCGAAGGGATATCTTCACGATTACTGTTCAAAGTGACTTTGACACGGCACTTCTCTTCATCACAATCATGAGGAATCTGGGCATACAAAGGGGCAGTCCCAAATCCTATGAGGAAAGACATCGTACGCAACTCCTGGACAAATCCTGGACAAATCCTTCAGTACCAAACAAGTACTCAGGCTTGTAGCACGGCATCTAAAGACAGTGAAGGGAGGGAGTTAAGACATTTATCCAATTAATAGCACAAGTTTTTGGATTAATTTGAATAAAGTTAGAAAATCAAAGTAATAGGTAAATAAATAAAGTAAACCAATCTTGCAAGATAAGTTGAAACAGTTAGAAACAGGATCACAAACTTTGCACTTTTGAATAACAGATATCAAAAGAAATAAAATAAAAGAGAGTTATAAAATCAATATGCTAAGCTTAGTTTATTGCAGCAAAATTAAATAAAACAATGTTATAAAACTTTTGCTGGTAAATGGCCATTAGTACAGTAATAGATGTACAGTACTAACAACACCGGAATAATAAATAAATTTTGAATGAGAACAATTAAAGGAATTATAAACTGCATGTGCCATTAGTTTGGTTTAAATAAAAGAGAAAGAGAGGAGAACAATTCTACTTTTCAACATTTTTAGAGGGCTTCTATAGGTAACCATTTGGCATAACCTAGGGTCAAGGAGGCTCTGATACCAACTTGTCACGCCCAGAATTTCTATCCAAAATTCCAAACGCTTACATGTGTGTAAACCCTCGTCCAGGAATCAGCCGAGGCACACAATAACAAATTGATAATAGAGTACAATTATTACTCTAATTAATAAGCGAATAAAATGTCATTACAGAGGTAGATAGTTCCTCTCAATCAATAAAGTTCTAAGCAGCGGAAAATAAAAGAAACAGCGCAAGCGACTCCTCTCCACAGGCAGCTTGACCAGGACTAGGCCTAATCCTCCACACCATCAGTATCACTGTAGAACTCCTCCTCTGATGAATGATTGCAAGGTGAGTATATGACATACTCAGCAAGCCACGCAGCAAATATGCAAGTGCACAGGATAACAAAGGATGGCATAGTATAGTCTCATTTGCATAAATAGCATTTAACAAATATTTCAGAATTTAATAAAACAGTTAAATAATAATTAAACAATATTAATCCAATGCTATACAACATACCCTGTTGCATAGGCCCAACCATTCTGAACAACCAATCCCGGCTACACAGTTCTATCTCCAAACCAGGAATTAACCATTCCAAACCAGGAGCTAAACAAGTTATTAACATCATAAATTAATATGGTGAGAAATGTAAGACTAATCACGAAAGACATTGTTAGACCCGCCCATAACCACGGGCACGGCTATTCGAATAGTTTAAACTCTGGCCAGAGGTGTACCACTGTACCCACAAGACACAACCTTAACATCATGTCAACCATGCGTCACGATACTTGACAAGTACCCGAATAGAGATTGTAACAATACCCTCTATATAATACAATTCAAAGCAGTGTACCGTTCCTAGATCATAATCACCCCCTTATAAACAAGGTATGGACTCCCCAGCGACCCCCGTGGGCTTATCTCCGCCACTTCACAGTCTGGTGCTCTACTATGAACCATACTATACATAAAGTAAAGCCGTTGCCCACGCTGGCTTGTGGTTGGCACGGTAAATGTTTCACAATCAAAAATCGTGAACCGGTCCTTAATTGTCATGAGCACAACCATCAAAACCATATGCTCACAACCCACCATTATCAGGTTTTAGTTGGCAAATTAATTAATTAACCAATCATGATTAACCATAATGAGCTACCATTAAGCCATCATTAAATAATAGTGAAGCATAAGTTATCCCAGTAGTGTGCCAATGTTTCTAAGCATGGCTAAGCAATTATATCTAATATCCAGCTGAATCCATATATATAAAGCTCAACTAGTCAAGTTATAATAACCCAAGGTATCAAAGAATAGGGTAATCAAGAACAAAAGGGCTATAACAAAGCAATAGGTTATTTCCACCCAATGACATTCAAAAATAAATGCAATAGTTGAATAGAAACAATAGCTTTAAACGGGATCAACATGCTCAAAGGATTGTTTGGGATCTGTGTGACTTGCCTTGCTGGCCTTGGAACTCTTCAAAGTCTTCTCTTGCAAATTCAGACTCTCGGGAACGTCGGAATCTAAAGAGAAAAGAACAAAATCACCAAAACAGCACATAAACAAGCATGAACAGTATATGTGGATATTTTTAACATGTAGATCTCAATTTTAGAAAAAATTAGAGACTTGAACCAACTAAATCCGAGCTAAGATGAATTAGTTATGAATTTTCAAAGATTAAATCGGATTAAAACATTTATATAGATTTTAATTGAATTATGACGCAATAATGAATTATTTTTGAAAAGGAAAAAGGGGATTATTGCGTCAGCGGGTCGGCTCACGGTGGACCGGGTGCATGGCGGCGGTTCACGGAAACAAACGGCCGTGATCGATCTATCCAAAACGGATGGCCAAGATCTAACGGTCTACGACCGATCTACGACGGACGGCGTCGATGACGTCAGCGATGACGTCATCACCGACGGCGGCTCGGCCTCGCATGCTCGCCGGCGAACGACGGCGCGGCGGCGCGAACGAAGGACACCTACGGGTTGCGGGCGACGTGGAAAACTCACCGGTGACCAAAACAGCGGCGGAAGGTCAACGGACGGCGACGGCGACGAGGAAGAAGCGGCGGCGACCTTCAGCTTGACGACGACGGCGGGGCTCCGGCGATCTACAGCGACGACGGAGGGGTGGACGAGGTCGGCGACGACTTGACGATCACGACGGCGGCTTTCCCGAGCGACGACGACGACCAGAGCGACGGTGGCACACGGCTGGACGAACGGCGGTGACGGCGGCACTAGGCTACACGGCGCTAGAGCAGAGCTATTGATGTCTCCCTGTACATGCATCAGATTGCCACCTCGGAATATGCATGGCAAGTGCATGCATGTATCCTTGCCGTGCTTCCAATACAATGTGCCAGCAACTCCTCTGTTCTCTATCCGTTGCATTGCTCATTGGTGTAGCTTGTGTGCATATGACGTGCACTTTGTGTACGCCGTCCGTGCCTCTCTTACGCATCGCAGTCCGCAGCCCTCGTGGTCACCGTCCACGACCCCATCGTCCCGGCCCTGCATGTCCGCCGCGCCATGCCGCGCTCGCTGACTTCACCCTTCCATCACTGGCCTCCCTGCCGTCGCTGATGAACCCTGAGTTCCACTCGACACTCAAGGCTGTTGTTGGCCCGATCTTTCGGTGAGTTGAGATAACTACGATTTGGGAGACACGTTGACGACCCGACTACAACCGTACGAGACGTTGTGTTGCGCCTTAGCGATCGATACACCTCTCCGTGGGTTGTTGATCTTGCCGGTGCAGATCAACCCTATTCCTGCAAGCAAATCGAAGAAACAAGCAAGAACAAGATAAAAGCAATCTGATATTGCAAATAGGAATTTAATACAAATGATAAGTTGGGGTTCCGAAGAACAAGCAGACGGACGGTCTAGCCGACACGTGCGCTGCAAGCAAGTAGCAATAGCTAAACTTTAATCTATCAAAACCCAAGAAACTCTAAAGGGCTACCTAGCTATTTAAGTAGGTGGGAGGTCCTCTAGGTCATCCTCCACTTGGTTGGGGCGCACCCCACATGGGCCCCACTTGGGCGGGGTCCCAGACGAAGTTACAAGCCCATAGGGCCATTACAGGTGTCGCAGCACCTTGTTTCTTCAGTTTCTGCCGACTGAGATGGAATTTGGCAATGAGGCTAGATCAAAGAGGACTCCGAGAGCTTTCCATCAAGTACTCATGGGCCAAAAACGGAGGTCGTATGCAGATTCGACGGCCGTTTGAAGTCAGCAGTGTAGCAGGTGGCCGAATTGGATTCTAGCACTTGGAGGACTCGAACTTGATATCTTGTTGTTCATCTATGATGTGAGCAACGGATGTATCCGTAGTAGCCATGGTCACATCAGTCGCGGATCCGCGATCGCCGCGTGCGTTGGGCGCGTCGTCCATAGCGCTACCCCTCCAATCTCTCTGGTCGCCTTCAGCCACACCTGGACCTGTCTAATCGTGAGTGAGGTCATCGTCTCCGCGACGTCCTCGTTGTCGTCATCGATCTCATCGCCATGGCTGACGATCTTCTGTCGATGTGCGATCCTCACCTTGTGTTTCCTCCTCCACATGTCTTCTTGGTCCAATGTTGAAAACTTCTGCTATGATACCACTTGTTATAAAAGTTAGTCAATATAGCGGAACGACGACTAACTTTCTCGATCGCTTCAGTCATTGATCAGCTAAGACATGCCAGATGGCAACACAGGAACCCACGATATTTGTTAACGAGGTTCAGCCGAAGCTTACATCCTCGGGGCTCTGGTTATGGGCGCGCCTCCCCAATCAATATAGCTCATAGCTGCTACGAGTCTATAGCCGCGCACCATCATCTCCCTGCGTGCCTACGCTATATTGTAGTCACCATGGTTATATTGTGGTGCCTCCTCTCTATTTAAGAGAGTTGCCGGGTTATAGAGTCCGACTCTAACTTCACCCCCACCACCTATTATAACTCCAAGTCCAACTGTAACCAATTAGGACTAGTATATTCGACACCTATTCTAACACTGACGGGTGGGTCTCACAGGGTGACTCAACAGGTTGGACCTAGTTAAAGTGCCATGTTAGAGAAATTACCCTTCAAAACAGTTGAGAGAGAGAGAAAGTCAAATTGCACTAGTTTTAATAGCTAGGATTAGAGATATCTAATATTTTGTAGTTCAGGGATAAGAATTAGATTTGGCCACTGGTTAAGGGAGGTTAAGTGGACTTATTCCACCACCTCACGGGGTTTAGTGGTGAGTGGGGCGGGCCGTGCGCAGCCTGTTTGGCCACCTATACCACGGACCACGGAGACCACGAAATCACATCATGGCTTCTTCCTACGTTCTATCGCTTCTCCGCCGCCGCCGCCGCCGCTGCACCATCCCCACCCTCCCCCCGCTCCTCCCCCGCCTCCTTTCCTCCTCCTTTTCCCATTGCCCTTCGTCCCTCTCACCGGCGAAGCCCCCTTCCCTCTCCGCCCGCCTCTCGTTCGTGTTCGACCAACTCGATGCCCTCGACCGCTCCCGCTTCTCCGACCACTCCGCCCGCGACGCGGCCCTCCGCCGCATCCAGTCCTGGCGCCGCCCCGCCGCGCTTCCGGACGTGCTGCCGGCGGAGGCGGAGCCGCGACCGGCACCCGAACCTGGCGAGCCGGTGAAGAAGGAACCTGAGGCGGTGGACGTTGCCGGAAAGGAGGAGCTGGAGAGGATGAGCGTGGCGGAGGTGCTAAGGAGGGAAGTGGAGCTCGTGCATCCCTGGCCGGAGTGGATCGAGCTGATGGATCGGCTGGCGCAGCAGAAATACTTCGACCTTGGGGGCACCGGCGGCGCTGACGAGGGCTGCGTCGCCGCCGCCGTGCCAATGGACCTAGCGGAAGTCACTCAAGAGACTGGTTTTGACTTCTCTAGGGACTGGACCACTGTCAAGAATGCCTGTATGAACTTCGGCCGTGACCGTTTCGACATCGTCAAGTAAGTTTGCTCTTCCTTAGCCGCATCTCGTGGAGCTTGCATGCATTGTTTGTTTGTTAGTTGGAAACCACATAGTATCAGATATATATGGATTAAGTCGTGGATTGTTCCACGGAGAAACCTTCAGCACGAACAAAATGGATCTTTCTTTAGAGACAGATGTGAGTTTGCTTGCTGAAATGTCTCTAGTAAGAACATTGACAGTAGAAAGAGGAAACTTATGCTCCCATTCGGTAGACATAAGAATTCTATCAAGTTTTTCATAAGTAGGCACATTCAAATTATTAGCACAAGTATATATCGTTCCAGACATATATAACTCTCTTAGACTTAAACCATCTATAATGACATTAAACAAAAAGGCAAGAAAGTTCTGAAGATGGTATGGCTTTAAAATCACACAAGTGATCACCACCCACATCCATTACCTCCTCCATAATATCATGACATTCCTGTTCAACTAGCATTTCATCCTCTTCCACTTCAACATTAACATGTCAATTTTCTTGCATGTTAACATTTTGTAACCGTAAAAGTTCTGAAGATTTACTATCATGTAGTATAGTCCTAACACAAGTATCATCACCCCCAACATAATTCCCAATTTAGTGACCTTACTAGTTAATTGCTCATCAGAAAATTGCAAAAAAGAATTATGAACTAAGCTATTACCTTTTGAAGATAGAATCTCTAGGTTGCACATCACCTTAAGCTTATCTGCCATCTCAAGAGAATCCTGCTCCGAATCATTTGCCCACTACCTACGGAACCGTCGCTAGCACAAGTGCCGAAGGTTGCTGGCCAGTCTCCACCATCATTGTGTTTTCTAAGTCCATCATACTCATCAGAAACCGTCAGTCCCATATCTGTGTAGGTGCCCCAATTTTAACTCCAGAAGATTTTCCATCATTGGACTTAGATAACTCCTTTCCCTTACCATAATGATTTCTTACCATTCTTTCCATCCAAATCATCCCCCTCTTTCTTTGTGTCATCATTAGGACCATCAAAATTATCCATCTCCATAGGCACCGGTTCATCATCATTCTTAGGCCCAACTTTAAATTGAAGTTCGTATAAGAAATCTCCAATTATCACATCAACAGATTCAGGAATTAAAGAATGATCTAGAACCAGAACTTGCAAATGGGCTGCATCATATCTCTTGGTCAACTTCATATCCACTATCTCGGTGACACCAAGAATGAACCCAACAGCCCATATGATCTAGTATTCCCTTAGCTCCTTTAGTTAATCCACTGTATCCACACCTTTGGAATAGCATATTTTATCTCATTCCCAACATCTCTCTCCTTCATTTCCATCTTAGCTTTCACAAACTTAGTATTCACTTGCCCCCATTCTACCATTCTCTGCAATTCCACCTTAGAAGGAAAGATAGTTCTAAAAGTATTGTTACCATTATCATAAACCTCCCATTTCCATTTACTTGGAATCAACCTATCTAACTCCGATGTCACATTCATCACTGTTAGAACCCCTTTTGTAATATGTATCAAAGCTACATTAGACTCATGCTTCACCTTCTGACCTGCAGGAAGAGGGATATAATAGAATCCCAAGCCATCCACCGCATAACCACACAAAGACGCCATGTGCTTGTTTGCTGATTTAAAAACAGGACACTAGATGTTACATGGTCAGCACTTTCACATATGTTACAGAAAAGCTGAGTTACACACTCCTTAAGGGTATGACCCTTTGTGTAGCAACGGTACCAATATGGGATTTTAGCCTTAACGTCCACATCACCATTAATGTTCTCCCCTGCCATACTTGTCATATGTACCTGAGCCATTGATCCACCATGCGACACAATCGCTTCTGGCATCACTCCCGGCTGTCCTGAACTCGTCACACCTCCTGCATGGACCTCTATCAAACCTGTCTTCTTTCCTGTCTCAATCCCAGTTAGAACCATAGGTGTTGAACCTCCATGCGCCACCACTGTCAAAGACCTCAGTTGGGCCACGACAGCAGCTGCCCCATTACCTATTATGCCCATACCTGGCTAAGCGAACAAGATAGCTGCAGGCAAAGAGCTAGGTGCCCCACCTGCTGCACCTTGCGATCCCATCCCTCCATCCACATTGCCGCCAGCCATGCCCGCCACGCCACTGACCATGCCTCCACCCATGCTTGCCATGCCGCCGGCAATGTTGCCAGCCATGCTGCCTATTCCTGCCATATTGTTGGCCAAGGTAGGCCCTCTGGCCACTCCAAACACTGCTCCATTTGCCGGTCACTCCAGCCAGTGGACGAAGACCACCTGATGCTGTAGCCATCGGTGGGACGACGCCACTAGCTGTTGTAGCCAAACCCTTCGAAGCTACGGCACCAGTCCTAGCCACTCCAGTTGCACTTGCTGCCCCAGCGACTCCAATCGTTGGCGACACCGGCGGCATGTTGCCTGTGAACATCGGAAAGCGCTGACCGTTCTACCGCCTTGCCAATTCCCCTGGAAGTTGCCACCGTATCTCCCACCTCCATGGCGACCGTCGTAGAAGCCACGATCTTTGTTGCCTCTGCCACCATCGATCTACCACGATCGCCGACTCCATATGACCAGCCACCACCGGTTGCATAGCCGTGATTAAAGCCCTGGAAACCACCCCTTCCGCCTGCCGCAAACGAACCTTGACCTCCACCTCTTGCACCACCTCGATAGGTCTCTTCATCAATTCTCTCCATTATTGATGTTGTTTCTCGCGCACAACGTCCGTGTATGGCGATTGTGTGGCGATAACCCTAGGAGCCACAAGTTGAGAAGTCCCCGTTCTAGCGAGTAGGGAAACTAATGCGAGCATGGGCCTAAAGGGTATGTTGGGCTTTGGAGGAGAATGGGCCTGGTTTGCACGTGAAAACAAACCAAATTTTGAAATTTGCATATCCCCCAGAAGACTCGGATACTCACTGACATCATCGGATCGAGCATACCTCACCGCCGGCAAAGACTGAAGTCTCGCCGATGCGGAATACATCACCGGAGAATTATGCTGCATCGAAACTAAGAGTTGACGTACCTTTGGTTGCTTGGCCGAAGCAATGACGTCCCCAATGGTTAGCGACGATGAAACCCTGGGCACTGGCAGCCGACCACGCCAAGGAAGACAAGCCAAGCGATGACTGACCATCAATTCGTTCACTCGCCTTGCCGTCAAACCCATCTTGTGCCCTAAAAGAGAAATATCTTATTCTGCCTGTAGGAGCTTTTCCACCATGAAGCCAGTCTCGTTAGCCTCCCTTATGAACACCGCCGTCGAGTACGAAGACGAGGACCAGACGGATTCTTTATCGCTGTCTGCCCACAGTGGTGAAAAAGGGGATCCATGTAAGTAGTCTTTGGTTTGGTTGGTGTAGCCGGCCATCTCGACGAACCGTGAAAGTTTTTGCCGAGTCCGAGCATCGCGATCTTCCTGTTCCTGTCACGAAGACGACGCTGTCTCAGGCCGTCGACGCCTTCGCTGCCGCTGGCCGCGGCGCCAACGTAAGCCGGCGAACCCTCAACGCCCTCTGCTTACCTCTAGATCGTAGGCATAAGAAAATCTGTACATTGCAATCTGTTGAAACTAACAAGATACTTCCACGAAAGCATAATTCTTGAACGTCTTCACTGAGTCGTCCCTTTTTTTACGTGTGGATAACCCCTCCTACCATGCTCGGTACTAGCAATTCATTCCCTTTGAAATTATCTCCTTGATTTTTCTTATAGTTTGCTTAAAATTCTGGACAGCGTCCTATTCTCAAAACACAGAACAAATATTAAACACTAATTGAGTTCTCCATGTCCCTACACGGATGGGGATCAGGACATCAGGTGCAGTCAACTTTAGAAGTAGCCCCTTCCAAAAGAGATCAAACGGCAAGTCCTTCCTTAGGGACAACATGTCAATCCCACCTGGTCCACTCCAGAGAGCTCTGTCAGGCAGCAAACCCAATGCCACGCAGCCTTAACCAGCATTATCTGATCTCTTGAAGGAGCTCACAATGGCTGCTGCGATGCAGAGACAGTTTCAAGCGCAGGTCAATGAGCTTCATATCAATGAGCACCTTGCTGCCACTGGCAAGTGCTTGTCTGGCCTTAGTGTTGAACCAGTGTTACCGGGACACACGTGTCAGGAAAAAAATTTGCCGCGTCGACGTGTATCTGCGTGTCGACTCGCGTCCGACTCGGGACGACACGCATCTGACGTGGGTTGGCGAGTCCCAAGGTGGGAGAGAGGAGTTGCAGGGGCTCTGCAGCCGCTGTATGGTAGAGAAAACTCTAGTTGTTCTAGTAGGGAAGATGACTTGGTGTAGGAGGTAAAGTAAGAGAAGGGCTGGGAAAGAGAGTCAAGTTGTAGCTTTTTCAGGCTCTGGAAGAGGGATAGCCGCAGGCTAGAGAGAAGAGAGTATCTGTAGGCTGTAGCATATGCACCATCTTTTCTCCTTTTTTGCAATACGTCACTGTTCAGCGGCACAAGATACAAAGCAATTGGATCCTTTGTGCACAAGACTACTGATATTAAAGTTTTAAGTGTTTGACCAACTATGGTGTTGGTATTTGGTATTACTATGTAATATTTTTAATAAAAAAATTATATATGTTAGACGAGTTCCCGGATCCTATTTTCTAGAGTTTGCCGAGTTGGACACCCGAGTCCGAGTAAGATTCCGACTCTCGAGTCTGAGTTCTGGTAACAGTGTGTTGAACGTGGCATCGACGAGCCCCTCAAGGATACGACTCTGAACTGTATGTTGATGACGACTTCACGGCCACTGGCTTCAAGATGCTTGCACCTTGCAGGGCTCGGCTTGAGCGTCAAAATCACGGCTGAGTTTGGTGCTTCGTGGAACTTTGAGGGTGGTGAACAAAGGGGGGAAAAGGTGTGGACAGTGAATCCTAGATGATTTTTGGATGACATAGATGGGCTCCTACTGCTTAAATCGCAGTAAAAGCAAGGACTGCACTTGATCACGAGTTCACAACCCTCTATAACCATTATTATACTTTCCGCTGTATAAATTTCTATGTGGTTGTGTGAAGTACTTGTGATAAACAGACTCCAAAGACTGCTGGAAACGCATGCAAATTATATAAATTTTGTTGTGTATATTCTTGCCTAAAGCACAGGCAAACAGACATACAAATCTTTCCTACTTGAGAATTAGTAAAGACCACTTGAACAGAATTTGGAATTTTGTTTTGAAAATCTAAGAGAAGTTCCATTCCATTTTCTGGAAAAAAGGCAATTAATTTCCTTAAACATGGAAAAATGGTACTGGAATGGCAGCCAATAGATGTAATAACAAATAATCAAATAATATTGTATTAACACCATTATTAATGGTTCCTTAATCTTATCAATCCAGGTCATTGCCTAGGAAGGATCTTCAGGTATTGGTTGGCCATGGGTGCCCTAGCATGGATCCGAAAGTTGTGTTTTCTGCAAAGCTGATAAGAAAACTTGTCCATCTTGATGAGGGGGATGTAAGTTGCTCCTAAACCAAAATTTCATTTCCTATCGTTCAAAAATTACCATATTGCTGCTTTTTTTATTGCTGGTTGAGAAAAAAAATGTTTTGGCCAGTCGATATGGCATGGAAAGTAACAGAAATAGGAAAAACAAACTGGGGAGGATCGATTTTCTCAATTTATCAATATAAATAGAGTCACTGTTGAGTTTTTAGGGACAAGTGTAATTTCTCCCTTGCATAGCTACCTGAAATGTTTTCTCAAGCCGTCCTGTAGTTTTTTGCCTCTTCTTGGCCATGTTTGTGTCCAATATAATTTAATGATTCACCCAGGACAAGATTTGAAGAGGTTGTAAGAAGATGATAATGTTGCTAGCCTCACTATCATCACCTTTGCTACCTGGTAATTTTTCCTAAAGTAAAGACACTAGGTAGCTAGGCGCCAAGAAGAGTTCCACCTAGTTGACCGATTTGCATGCTGGCAATCAGGGAATGGGCACATGCAGGAAGGCAGGGAAGGGAATATCTGGAGGCTGGTGTATGGATGCAATAGAGCTGGAGTTTGGTGTCTGTGAAGTACAGTTATGGAACCAGTGGTGTTCATGCAAAATTAATGGTGTTCATTGGGCGCAAGTTTGTATGTCTGAGGTGTACTCAGTACCAGGAGGTGAAACATACCCATAGGCAGTGATGGCAGATCTGCCAGCTTGAAAGTTGAGATGTGGAGCTAAACATGGTTAGCATGAGCCCACATCGATGAGGACAGTTTGGACATGCTTGCCTGCCACGAAGGCCTTTACTATCTCTGCCTTGTTGCCTCGTTGGTACCACTGACCAAAGTATGACTGGTCTCCAAAGTCCAAATTAGATTCCAGAACACAGATTATCTCTAGCTCCACTAGGACCACGTGTGACATGTTCACACTCCATGTACGACACCATGCACATCTATATAACATCTAAACATATAAAGACATGCATATCTGACTTTAGGTAGCAATTCAACTGAAGTTCATAAGGAAACAAAACTGCTTGTTTTTTGTTGTTTTTCTGGAACAGTAAAAGTATCTTTACTGCATGTTTGTAGTGGGCTGTGGTAATGATCATGGGTAGCATAATCACATTAAGTCCCACTTGATCTCCATTTTTCTTGGCCTTCTTTTCCATTAGCATCAATTATCCATTCTCTCTTTTCTATGCTCAGTTGAATGTGAAGTAAGGGATGGCCAGGTGGTCTGATTCCAGATGAGAACCTACATGGTAGTGGAGACTCATCCTTTCATGTTATGTGATTATGTTGAGGCTCTCAGATTCTTATCCATGCATAGTTTCCCAGTTTGTTAAATAAACTCCCTAACAGATAAGGATACTAAATAATATAGAAATTAATGAAATAGGCGTTACAACTAATCGATAGATAACTATGCCCAGTATGCCTGCTGCCTATCGGTTGGAAGTCCATGAATACACAAATCTTATTTGGCTGCTTTGGAAACAACATTAGTCTTTGGTCTGGAACGTTGGAGAACACATCTTGAAGTCAGCTGCTAGCATTTAGGAGGCATGAGCTGCTATGATGTTTTGTTAGTGTACCTGAACCTCATCCCCCACTCCCCCGACCCTATTCTCTATCTCCCTATTCAAATGTGCATGAATGAACTGTGCAGGAAGGGCAACAGAAAAACCATGTAGCACTGAAGGAGAGGTCGGCCTCACCATATAAATGCAGTCTGGGATATGACCTGTCCAATAACGTCTGCATCCTTGTATGGGCTGTACAAGCTGTGTGCGTTCACTGCTGCAGAGATGACACCAGCAACAAATAATTGTGCAACATATATTGACTTACTAATAAACCATTACCTAAAACAAACTAGACTTCTTAACAAAATAAATATTCATCTAGACCTAACTTGCTCCAGTACAGTAAACTGGTGCTACCTTTCTGTGCTGCTTATCAATGGATTCCAGACCAAATTGTTTTTACCTGAATTGATTGAGTTACTGTTGGTAGGAACACCCCACTTGGTTCTATAAAACACATGGAAATGAAAGGCAGGTATAGTTGACACCACCCTGCTTGCTGTGGAAGTAGCTTGGGCCAATTTCAAATTTTTCTGAGGCATAGCCATATACATTTATATTATAGATAACTAAGATTCTGCCATGTAAAACTGTTGCCAATACTAAATGTCAGGTGTCTTTCTATGCTATGGTGTATTCCCTTGCGGATTTCATTTATACTTGAAATTTATCTTTTAGATAATGACTTGAAATTTATAGTGAGCCAATGTTTCTAGATGTAGAACTGTTTTTCATACTCCTTGTTGGATTATTCAGTTCTCAGTGACTGATTTCATGATTAGCCATCTTTAACTAGCCATGAATTTATGATGGCGTTTTCCATGATATTACAAAATATGCATTAAGACATACTACCTCCGTCCATAAAAAAGTGTGTTTTTAGCTATGAACTTGTACATTACCAATGTCCAGGTACATAGCTAAAAAGGCACTCTTCTAGGGACGGAGGAAGTACAAGTTATGGAGTAGAGGGGCTTGCTGATGTTAGGGTTGAAACACACGCCTCAGTTTTACTGATACAAATTCTTGCAGCCTTATCTTCTCAGGTTCCAAGTAGCTTGTAAAAGCTAAGCTAGACAATTTGTTTAGTTAAATAATCCAATGCTAACCTAAAATCTTTAAATATTAGTGAAGATGGTAACACTAGGAACATGTGACATTCTGAATTTCTTGTTTTCCTCCTACTTTGCAGGTATGCAGTTCTTGTAATTTACGAAATCTATGCTCAAGGGGCTATATTCTTACACGCAAAGAAGATGAAGCTCGAACTCTTGATGTTATGCGTATTTTGTTGTTCTATGGTTTTGATCATGTAAAGGAAACTGTGGAGAACAAGCCACTCCTCAAACTGAAATCTGTGAAGACAGTTGTTCGTAAATTGATACATGACATTGCCAAGCTGAGCGCTGTCCCCATTGATCCCAATCTTCCGCCCCCTATAATCAGAAAGCCACCACCTAAGGTGAAACAACCACCTCCACCACCAAAGAAACGAGTGGGACGTGATGATGTAGAGATGAAGAAAGGAGATTGGCTCTGCCCAAAGTACTTATAGCAACTTCCTCCTGTGATCTGTAGAATCTTATTGAGCTCAGAATTGTGTTCTCATTTTCTGGAATTTGGCTGCAGGTGTGACTTCATGAACTTTGCAAAAAACACTATTTGCTTGCAATGCGATGCTAAACGTCCCAAAAGGCAACTTCTCCCTGGAGAATGGGAGTGTCCTCGGTTAGTTTGATCAACCACAACTTTGTCAAATTATTATCTACTACATCATGCAAGACACACTAGTGACCCCTAATACATTTTAACATATATTTTTCCACACCCTTGTTTTATTACCTGTGAATTGAAACAAGTCTTTACTTGTTTGACCATCGTCTTTTTCTTTTTGAGAACCCCCATTTCTATTATCAGAAATGGCAACAAAACCGGTGTTCAAACAGTAACTTCCTAGAGACGATCATCTTCCATGGCATTTGCAAACTGAGATGCCATCCATCTCATTTGCAGGTCTAAGCTAGGTTTTACTGCTCATGGTTGCCAACAAAACAAATCTTCTGCAAAAGGCAACCAGAAGCCAAAGATATACTACCACACTATCTCATCCTCCATCCTGGTTGTTTCACCGTCCTCAATCTTCATCCTTCAAGTCTTCCAGTCCTAAAGCTGCCAACCATGCTGAGCATCATATACCTCCTTTGCCACCTGCTTGAGTAGAGTTACTCCCTCCTGCAGTTTTCCTTCCTTTCCCTCCAACCCTTGCAAAATGGGCCAAGTAGAAATCCAATGACAAACATAGAAGATACACCCACATGGTCTTTGGGTAGTGTATTCCTGAAACAAGTTCTATTCCTAGTTTTCCAGGTGGCCCAAATAACTGTAGCTATCCTACCACCACCATGTTCTGTGTTTCTGCATCAAACTTCTTAAGCCAAGGGCCAAAAAGATTATTCATATTATCTATGGGACCAATATCAAAGGCATATTAAGTCAGGCTAGAGAATAGTGTATAAACAAGTGATCAATTGTGTTAATTTGCTACAAAAACTGACATTTATTGTCCGCTTTCCTCCAGCCTCTTTTGTATAAGTTATCCTTGGTCAGAATACTGCTTGTGAGGCAGAACAGAGTTATTTTTTTAACTTTCAACAGCATTTTATATTTCCACGTTTTCTTGAAGGGAAAAGCTATTTTTCAGACCTCTGTAGAAGGATCTGACAGTGAAATTGCCATCCTTTCATCTTATTTTTCTTTCTCACTGTTAGAAGAATTGACTGGCATTCATTATTTATCTTATGAAGCTATCAACCGGTACCCTAACAAAGTTGTTCTGAATTTAAAATAAACCCAGTCAGTAGAAAGAGTTTTTGCCATTGTGTTGTTTCTGGTAAAGGTGATATCGTGACCATCTTTTTCATTACATAACCGTGGTTAAAATATTTCTGTATTGTCATTATTCTGAAGAAACATTCTGGTAATCATGGAAGGAAAAATGATGGAATTTATATGTTTCAACGGTAGATGTGCATGGTATTATCCACATAAGCTAATGTGTCCTTCAAATTTCAGGTGCAACTTTTTGAACTACAGGCGGAATATGTCGTGCTTCCATTGTGAACACAACCGTCCACCAGATGAATACACCAACAGCCAAATGGAAGCTAATCAATCTGTTCCACGAAAGCGATTGGAAAGACCTGCTCACAAATCTGAAGTTTGTAATGCATGGAACTTTGATTTTGATGACAATGAATCAGATGGTGCTGATGTTGCAGCATTTGAGTTTGCTGATTCATCAAAGGCCAGGAATAGCTTGTCTGTGGACAACACGTCTTCTAGAGGTGGTTCTAAGTTCTCTGAGGACAACGAATTTGGAATTAATGAAACATGGAGAGAGGGAACAGAGAGAAGGTTTTCAGAAAGAGAAAGAGTTGGTTTTGATGACTTTGATGACGAAGAGGATGATATTGATAGTTACGAGCTTGATTTATCAAAGGGTGGTCAGACAGATGGAATGTCAAGGATGAGTTATTTGGACTTTGAAGATGCTTGTGACTCGGCAGACCTAAATGGGCGTGCTAAAATTAGGAACTCTAAGCACGGTGAAGAGGAGGATATAATAGGGTCTCCTGAGGATGAGGAATTTGATCACCCTTCCCTGAGATCTAGTCATCTTGCTGCTTCTTGGAGGAAACCTGTAAGCTGCAATGGTTCCAACAACCACAGAAGGGAATCTTTTGGCTCGGAGAGTGATGATGGGATTATTTCTGATTTGGATGGGGATATTAATGAAGGATTGAAATGTAAAGGAGGCCATAACAAGCATTATCCTAGAAGAGTTGTTGTTAGGCATAATGAACTTGATGATGTACCATTTTCAGATATGGATTGTGACATAGGTGGCTGTGTTCAGTCAGATAGGAGGAACAGGTTCTCAACAAAGTTCAGTGATGAATTCCATGCCAGGGCCTCCAACTCAAATAGGAAGAAAATGAATGAACGATTCAAGAGTTCTGATATGCGTGATGGTCACCCGCCCTTTGATAGGACTCGTACAAGAGGTACTACTGAACTACATGATGGCTCAAGAGATCTACAGAGTAACGCAAGAAGAAATTGGGTTAAAAGTGGTGGATTTGATGATAACAACAGGCCGCTCAGGCGTTTGAACAGAAGATAGGGGAATCCAGTTACTGTGCAGTCCTTCCAACTAGCTGTCGTATTAGTGTTCTCCGATGTAAGGTGCAGCTTTTTTAATTGGAAACATAGAGCTATGAGATTGCATGCAGATCTGCGGTTGATCTCAATCCAAAGATCCACATGCTAAATTTCCTGCATGCAATACGGGATTGATGCTATTGAATCCCAAGGTCCGGCTAAAATGTGTGCCTAGAATATATTTCTAGCCTTTTCTCCCCGACTAAGCATTTCTGGTCTTGAGACAAAGATGTTTAAGCATTCCCAGTAAAATAAATGTGTAAGTATTCATCATGGTTAGGGTCGTATGAAAAGAACTGTTCTCGATTTTATACGAATTTCTGTTCCATCGTATTTTCAAGGAGAGGGAAGTATGAGTAAGAGCTTATTCACATGATCACGTCATATGCTTCAATGTGATGTGTTGCTTCTTGTAATAAGTCTGCAATGGTGATGTGGCGACTAATGTGGAAAAAATGGGTGATTTTAGAAGTGAAAACGAGAAGAGTATTTTTACGCTCGCTCAACCCGAGACTCATGGAAAGGATATGGGAGAGAAAAATGGGATACCTGGTAGTATCAGAGTTTGAATCTGAATCCGCAAAGCATATTGGAGAGTAAAAAGAGATACACGGTAATATTCGAGTTTGAATCATAACTCCAAAAAATATAGATTAGAATATGAGAAGAGTTGAGTTTGAATCCAAATCCCCCAAAAAAAATATTAGGATATACGAAGAGTTATATACTCGTGTATATTCTATATTATCAAACACTAGAAAAAAATGCATATGCGTTGCAATGGGTGAATGCTATTTTTTTAATCTTATTATTGTTATATGGTTTAGCTAAGATGAAATTCACTGTGAGAATTCGCTTGAATATTTTTTTAAAAAAATCATGAGATGCAATAAGGAGTTCGACTTTTATCTCAAGTTTAGCATGTAAGTTTTTTTAAAGAAATTTCTCATACGACTTCTTTTGTATTTTTAAAAGCAAACGTACTTAAAATCCGGCTCATACACGGATCTGTATTTCCAAAAGGGAATGAACTTAAAAACCGACTCAAATACGGATGACGTATCAAAATACCGGCAAAAACATTTTCAATTTTTATATAGTAGAGATATATGAAATCTATTTTAAATCTACCTACAAATATAATGAAAAATTGGTTAATCACTATTTTATCAGCTCACAAGTAATATTACAGTTTATTTGGCTTGATATATCTTTTCTAACACTCTAGTTGTCTTCCTAGATTTAGTACCTATGAGTTACAAATACAAATAGATTGTACTATGAGAAAAAAAAAAGAGAGAATGTGGGATAATTGATACGTTATCCAAGCCATCCAAACTCGATGCATCGAATTTAAAGTGATGAGGACATCAACACCATCGATACTATCGAGGAAAGATCCTCAATAGCGAGGAGTCGTGAGACCCCCCTTCTCGTGAGTTCGGCCGGGGGCAGAGGCTCGTCTCTTGGAAATCACTCGCTCGTCCCTAAGACTACCGACAAGCTTGCACATAGTCGGATTATACAGGTTCGGGCCGCTATGGAGCGTAACACCCTACTCCTGTGTTTGGGATTATGGATGAGTTTTACAAAGGTTTTCTTCACTCCAGAGAGCGCACTCGCTTTCTTTCTTCTGGAGTTCAGGTTTTCTGGGCGTCGTCCCCCCGTTTCAGTGGGCCGGGTCCTCCTTTTATAGCTCAAGGGGATACCACATGCGCCGCCTCTACCTACCCTCCATAGGAGGGGGATCCCACTCCACTTTTACTGGGCTTCAACCCGTGCCTTCTCCCGGAAGCTAAGCAACAACCGGTTCTCGAGTGGAACCCAGCGCCGCCCCCCGCCTGACACGGGGGACAGCCCTGTCATTTCCTCATAAATGAGCGATGACTTGCGACAGCCCTTCCTCGTGTGACGCTCGGATGTGACGGGTCATACCCACCCCCACTCCGCCGGGTACAGAGGCGACGTGAGGACATGATTGCCCTATCCATTGGATGTGACGGTAACAGGCCGGTCACAGACCGGTCACATCCGATGGACAGGAGTCAGCTAGGCGCGCCGCACGTCTGCCCTTACCACATTTAATGCGGTGAGGGACAGTTGGGGCGTCGCACATTTATGGATGTTTAGCCTGAGCTACCCTCTCTCTCTCTCCCTCCGCCGCGTGGCAGCCGGGGGAGGGCCTCGGGGCGAAGCTGCGGGAGAGCCCGAGGGGGTGACGCCATGCCCCGAGCCCCCCCCCCCCCCCCCCCGCCGCTTTCACGACTCGCGTGACGCGTGAGTGGGGCCAACTTGCAGAGTCACGTGGCCGGAGGGAAAGTAACTCCCCTCTACTTCACATACCCCCGGGCCCATATCTCCGACAGTAGCCCCCGGCGCTATATCAGATATCGATTTCCTGAGATCGGTCTGACATGGTGCCTCATGACTTCTCGAGCTGGGGTTGTGGGCCCGGCAGGGAAATCAAAGGGATATCGCCGCGTGGCCAGGTTGGCGTGCCAACCATAACAGCGGTTTGACCAGCACTGACCGCGATCATGAAGAAGATGCTTGAGGCGCGATAACCGGGGGGGGGGGGGGGGTCAGTCTCCTGCGGCGGTAGTGGCGACGGTTTTCTCAACTTGCGCTCATGGCCGTTGCGCACTCCACCTCGAGTGTGCCACTGACAGGCGCACTAAAGGCGGGAAGCAGATACAACGGGCGACGTGATGAGTGGGCGCGGAAAACGAAGAGACATATGCGGGCGCGAGGATCATGGGGGCAATTATGGGGGCGTGACACGAGGAGGTGAGCACGGATGAGGCGAGGATAAAAGGGGGCGGAGGCGGAGACTCTGCCTCCTTCCTTTCGCCAACTGCCCACTCGTCCTTTCGCTTCTCGAACCCTAACATTCTCGCCACTTCACACTGTCTCGCGCGCCACGCTCTCCGCCACTTCTCCGCCGGTCGCCATGGCTCAAGACACCGGCGATGCAGTGCTCCTTTCCTCCCGCATCACAGCAGACAAGCACCTTAGCCTTCCCCGCAAGATCATGCCGGACGGTGCCATCGTGCGGGCGGGAGAGTCGCGGCCACGGCCGCGATATCCGGAGCGATCCGTGCACCTCTTGTCCTTCGCCATGGCGGGCTTGATTCTGCCGTTCTCCAGATTCTTCCATGAGGTTCTGGATTTCTACGAAATTCATGCCTTGCATCTCGCACCCAATGCCGTGATGATGCTGGCCATCTTCGCGCATTTGTGCGAGATGTTCATTGGGGTACGACCGACGATGCGGTTGTTCCAGGCCTTCTTCATCCCGCAGCTGCTGCAAGGCGCGGTGGTGGGGGGATGCTACTTCCAGCCCCGGCCAGGCACAGCGGGTCAGTACATCGAGAGCCATCTCCGCAAGAAATGGGAGGACTGGAAGAAGGACTGGTTCTACACCGCGTTACCGGACCATCCACGACTTCGAGTTCCTACTGGCCCTCCTGAAAGGTCTGCTGCATGGCTGGCGGCTTCGGAGCTGGGCGAGGAATACGACGCGGTGTGGGACTGCCTCAAGGGCCTGCGGAGCCTGGGCCTCACGGGGGCGATGGTCTTTGGCGATTACTTCCGCCGCCGCATCGCACCTCTCCAGGAACGATCCCGTGGAGCGTGGGAATACACTGGTCCCAACGACCCCATGCGGACGCATGTGGGCGAGCGCTGGGACTGGGGTGAGGAGGACGCGAAGAGGGTGACTCGGCAGGTGCTGGGCCTAGACTCCGCCGAGCCAACACTAATCCCAGATGGGATTCTTCCCTTCTGCTGCGACCGTGACCGGGAGAGCATCCTGGCCGTGATGTCAGCCGTCGGCGCCGGCAGGAGCCGGTCCAGCCGAGGCGGCGCCAGCGGTAGCGCCGTCGGCGCGGGTGGTGGTGGTGCGACCGCGGGTGGGAGCCGGGCCGGCGGTCCATGCGGCGGTGGTTCAAGGGCGCCCGGACCGAGCCGCGGACCCGGAGACGATTCCGCCGGTGACCCAAAGGGGAAGCGGAAGGTGGCCTATTCCCGGTCGCCCTCTCCCCCACGTGGAGGAGGTGCCGAGCGCGCGACGGATCGTTCGCCAGCGGGCCACAAGCGACCTGCCGGGCCCGAGGCTGGACGGAAAAAGAAGCGGCTCCGGAAGATAGGGCAAACGGAGCCATGCCAGGGGAGCTTCATCGAGCCCCCGAAGTGGACCTTCAACCGCCCTCCCCGCAGGTACGATTGTTGGACGGAATAGGTTCATCCACCGGGGTCCATTCTGCGATGAAATCAGCCAGGACTTCTTGACTTTTGATCGCGTGCCGCGGTTCGAAGTGCAGATCGAACTCAGCCAGCTCGATGGCCCATTTTACCACCCGTCCAGTACCCTCTCGGTTGTGCAAAATTTGGCCAAGAGGGTATTACGTCACCATGGAAACCCGATGCGCTTGGAAGTAGTAACACAACTTCCTTGAGGCCATCAAAACGGCATAAAGCATTTTCTTGGCCTGCGGATACCGGGTTTTCGCATCTCGAAGTGCCTCGCTGACAAAGTAGACGGGCCGCTGCACCTTTCGGCGGGGCAGGTTCGTGTTGTCAGGGGCAGATGATCCGGGGCACGCCTGTTCGGAGGTCCCGGGGGGATCCCGGACTGCCTCGGGATCATAAGGTTCAGGGCCACCTGCCAAAGCCTCCCCTCCTCCCTTGGGGGCCTCGGGGTCCTCCCGGGGGCTGGAAGCTTTGGGCGCTAGGCCTTCGGGGGACGAGGGGCCATCGCAAGCCGGAGGGGCCTCCTGTTTGCCTTCCTCACGCTCAACTACTAGGGTGATATGACCATGGCTACTACGGATACATCCGTTGCTCACATCATGGATAAACAACAAGATATCAAGTTCGAGTCCTCCAAGTGCCAAAATCCAATTCGGCCACCTGCTACACTGCTGACTTCAAACGGCCGCCGAAGCTCCATACGACCTCCGTTTTTGGCCCGTGAGTACTTGATGGAAAGCTCTCGGAGTCCTCTTTCCAATGCATCAAGCCTCGTTGCCAAATTCCATCTCAGTCGGCAGCAACTGAAGAAACAAGGTGCTGCGACACCTGTAATGGGCCTATGGGCTTGTAACTTCATTTGGGACCCCGGCCCAGGTGGGGCCCATGTGGGGTGCGCCCCAAGCTGGTGGAGCACGACCCTAGGCACCCCTAGGTCGTCCTCCCACCCCTATATATAGCTAGTTACCCCTTCAGGGTTTCTCGGGTTTTGTTAGATTAAAGTTTAGCCATTGCTACTTGCTTGCAGCGCGCGTGTCGGCTAGACCGTCCGTCTGCTTGTTCTTCGGAACCCCAACTTATCATTTGTATTAAATTCCTATTTGCAATATCAGATTGCTTTTATCTTGT